CACCCAATAATTTGGTCTGTATCAAATTTACCATTTGATTGCTATCAAGCAGTACCAGTAAAGAAACCACTTGGTGGAACTTTAATTATGGCAGTTAATTCTCTCATTTATTTAAATATATAATTGAAAATATATATCAAATTTTAAATATTTTTCTTTTTATAATTCTAGAGCCACAAGATGGAGTAAAAATGAGTTTAGAAGGTTCTCAAGTTGCATTTATATCCTCAGACCGTTTAGTCATTTCATTAAAAAGTGGAGAATTATATGTATTATCTTTGTTTGCGGATAGTATGCGTTCGGTAAGAGGTTTTCATTTTGACAAAGCTGCAGCAAGTGTTTTAACATCATGTGTGAGTATAAAACAAATTATATTTAATTTACTTTTGTATAAATCATTCCTTTATTGCATATAAGTGCATTCAAATTTACAGGTGTGCATGTGTGAAGATAATTATTTGTTTCTGGGATCACGTCTTGGAAATTCACTTTTATTAAGATTTACTGAAAAGGAACCAGAAAATTTACAAAACATAAATGACAATGAAATAATACTTGAAGAAAATGAAACTGAAGAAACTCCGGCAAAAAAAGTGAAACAAGATTTCATAGGAGACTGGATGGCATCTGATGTACTAGATATAAAGGATCCAGAAGAACTAGAAGTGTATGGAAGTGAGACACATACTTCCATCCAAATTACGTCATATATATTTGAAGTATTTTATGCTTTTTTACTAATATAATAATAAAAATTAGTAGAAAATAATTAAATCTTTGGAATTAATCTACACGTAAATTTTTGCAGGTATGTGATAGCTTATTAAATATTGGACCATGTGGTAATATATCTATGGGTGAACCAGCTTTTCTATCAGAAGAATTTTCACATAGTCAAGATCCTGATGTTGAACTTGTTACAACTTCAGGATATGGGAAAAACGGAGCACTTTGTGTCCTTCAACGTTCTATTCGACCTCAAGTAAGCAACCATTGCATACTTTTAATACTTTATAAATTATTTAAATTAAACATATTAGAACCTAATAAGTAGGACCTAATAGGAATATCATTTATTTAAAAATAGGTTGTAACTACATTTGAATTACCAGGCTGTGAAGATATGTGGACTGTCATTGGTACATTCAATAATGAAGAACAAGTTAGGCCTGAGGCAGAAGGAAGTCATGCTTTTTTGATTTTAAGTCAAGAAGATTCAACAATGGTATTACACCTTTTATATAGATATTTCACTTTTGTTTCTAACTATATATAACTGTATGATATGTTTAGATATTACAAACTGGTCAAGAAATTAATGAAGTGGATCAAAGTGGATTTAGCACACAAGGGAGTACAGTATTTGCTGGAAATCTGGGTGCAAATAGATACATAGTACAAGTTACTCAAATGGGTGTACGTCTTCTACAAGGAATTGAACAGGTACACATGCAAAATTAGCACAACAAAACAGTAATTTTACATACATAAAATATTACGTATGGATATATGTTGTATAATTATAGATCCAACACATGCCTATAGATCTTGGATGTCCAATTGTACATGCAAGTTGTGCTGATCCTTATGTGACATTACTTTCTGAAGATGGTCAAGTTATGTTATTGACTCTTAGGGAAGGACGTGGAACTGCAAGATTACATGCTCAAGCAGCTAATTTATTATTTGTAAGTTAATAATATAATTATTTACTATTGTATTGTAATGTAATTTTTAATTTATCTCAATTTGCTCAAATTCTAGCGCCCTCAAATAGAAGCATTATGTGCTTACAGAGATGTTAGTGGAATATTTACAACTCAATTACCTGAAAATGTTGAAGATGAAGTACCTGAAGAAGAGCATAACATAGAAGAACCCCCAATTGTTGGTAATATTGATAATGAAGATGATCTACTTTATGGTGATGCACCAGCTTTTCAAATGCCAGCGCCATCACATACTAAATCATCTGAAGGGACGTCTAAAAGGAGTCCCTGGTGAGTTTGCCAATTTAAAATCGTTTTTATTCAAGAATTCAATATAATAATATGTTTACTTATTTTTTTAGTAACAAAATACAAAATTTTTATATTTTTGATAGGTGGCAAAAACATTTACAAGAGATAAAGCCAACGTACTGGTTATTAGTATATAGGGATAGTGGAACGCTAGAAATATATTCTCTTCCCGATTTACGCTTATCTTACCTGATTCGTAATTTCGGGTATGGACAATATGTGTTACATGATAGTATGGAATCTACAACGCTACAGACAACACCTGTTAATGAAATTCCTAACCCCGAGATGCAGGTATTGTAAAAAAATTAAGTGAATTTGCTAATATATTACCAACTTTGAGACAATATTAATATAATTAAATAATATTAATGGTATAATTAATATATTTTTTAGGTGCGTGAAATTTTAATGGTAGCATTAGGCCATCATGGAAATAGACCCATGCTTTTAGTACGACTTGACTCCGAACTTCAAATTTATCAAGCATACAGGTATCCAAAGGGTCATTTGAAATTAAGATTTAAAAAGTTAGATCACGGCATTATACCAGGACATTTAAGGTATACAATTCTTTGTCTTAAATTGTTTTTACATATTTATAAGTAGCTTTTTATTTTATGTTTTGTAATAAGCAATTATTAATTTATATCATAGGCCAAAACTAAGAGACGAAGATATGTCTACAATGAATGAAACTCGGCATTGTATGATGCGTTATTTTAGTAATATCGCTGGATATAATGGTGTATTTATATGTAGCGATTATCCACATTGGATATTTCTCACAGGACGTGGTGAACTACGTACCCATCCGATGGGTATTGACGGTCCTGTTACCTCATTTGCACCTTTTAATAACATAAATTGTCCACAAGGTTTTCTGTACTTTAACAGGAAGGTGTCATCATACACATCGGTATCATATTTTACAATATTATTACTATGATTATTTTCTTGTAATTAGTATTAAAATCATGTTATAATCTAAATGTATTTTGTATGTTTAATTTTTAGGAAGAACTAAGGATATGTGTTTTACCAACTCATTTATCATACGATGCTCCATGGCCTGTTAGAAAAGTACCTTTACGGTGTACGCCGCATTTTGTTACATATCATCTTGAAAGTAAAACGTACTGTGTTATAACGAGTATAGCTGAACCACTTAAAAGTTACTACAGATTTAATGGTGAAGATAAGGTGCGAATAAAAAAATAGCACTTAGAAAACTAATATGAAATGCAAAATATTAACAAAAATAAAAATGTTATTATTATTACCTTTTCAGGAATTTACAGAAGAAGAACGACCGGAAAGATTTATTTACCCTTCACAGGAACAATTTTCGATAGTACTGTTTTCACCCGTTTCGTGGGAAACTATTCCTAATACTAAAATTGAACTTGATCAATGGGAACATGTTACTTGTTTAAAAAATGTTTCTTTAGCTTATGAAGGAACACGATCTGGTTTAAAAGGTTATATAGTGTTAGGAACCAATTATAATTATGGTGAAGATATTACAAGTAGAGGAAGGGTAAATTTTATATTCGTATTGAATATATAATGTATATTAAATTTGATTTTATTTTTAGACTTATTTTGTAGATACTTATATTTGATATAATTGAAGTTGTACCTGAACCTGGCCAACCCTTAACAAAAAATAGGTTCAAGCAAATTTATGCAAAAGAACAAAAAGGTCCAATAACTGCTATCACACAAGTATCTGGCTTTCTAGTCTCAGCAGTTGGTCAAAAGATTTATATTTGGCAATTAAAAGATAATGATCTTGTTGGAGTTGCATTTATAGATACACAAATTTATATTCATCAAATGTTAAGCATTAAAAGTTTAATTTTAATAGCTGATGTCTATAAATCTATTAGTTTATTAAGATTTCAAGAAGAGTATAGAACATTATCTCTTGTCAGTAGAGTAAGTAAAGGTTTTCTTATATTTTTGTGCTTTTGCTATCAATATTTTTGTAAAAGGACATATTTTTTCAGGATTTCAGACCAGCAGAAGTTTACACTATTGAATACTTAATTGATAATACTAATTTAGGATTTCTCGTAGCCGACGGTGAATCTAATGTAGCTTTGTTTATGTATCAACCAGAGTCAAGAGAAAGTCTTGGTGGGCAAAAATTAATTAGGAAAGCTGATTTTCATCTAGGACAAAAAGTAAATACATTTTTCCGTATAAGATGCAGAGTTTCAGATCCTGCAAATGATAAAAAACATTTTTCTGGTGCAGATAAGAGGCATGTCACTATGTATGGTAAGTACAAATTAATGCATAATTATACACTCGTATAAGTACTTAATAAAATTATACTGATTTTATTTGATTAGCATCACTTGATGGCAGTCTTGGTTATATTTTGCCTGTACCGGAAAAGACATATAGAAGATTACTCATGTTACAAAATGTATTAGTAACACATATTTGTCACATTGCTGGTTTAAACCCCAAAGCATATCGGTAATTATTATATCAAAAATAAACCATTAGATTAAATCATTATTATTTATGATTGTCCTCTTTTTAGTACTTACAAAAGCCATATTCGAACTCAAGGTAATCCTGCAAGAGGAATTATTGATGGCGACTTGGTTTGGCGTTATCTCTATTTGCCTAATAATGAAAAAATAGATGTAGCAAAAAAGATTGGAACACGTGTACAAGAAATTATAGAGGACCTTACTGAAATAGATCGACAAACGGCTCATTTTTGAAGTAGTGCCTTTTTATCATTCCAAATAATAAATACATTTCAAAAATATTTCTATCTATTTCTTAAATAGCGAAGTATTTAACCGAGAAGATATTTTTTCTATCTTGAACAAAAATAATTATTTGTATTAATATTTTGTATGAAACGTGTATTTCTAGGAGCTTACTCAAGTATCTTATAAACATAAATAAAAATTTTAAAAATTGAATACAATCCATCATAAATAATATGAGCGTATGTGTATTAGTTAGGATGAATTTTGTACAAATGAAGAATGTATTGTCGATTTTTTAATTTGCTAAATTCACAAGTTATTTTTCTGTCACACAGGCGTCTATAATATTAATTTAAAAAATAAATTTTTACGAAGACTGA